TTTTTACCCCCTGTTGGGAGAATGGGGTGGTGGACCCATCATCCACAACAGAGCCAAATGCCTTTCCCCTCCAGACAGGTTCCTGCTGGGAGGTGGGGTCACAGTCCCATCATCCACAACCACACACCCCTCTCCTCTGGAGTTGGGTGGCCACCATATTTCAGTAAATAATGAAATCCTCATCTTTTTCGGCTTTCAATTTGTGGAGTTATAACCCCATCATCCCCAGCTGGGCAAAATCCACCCCCTCGTGGGTGGCTCAAGACAATTACAGCCCCATCATCCACAGCAAGGCCAATTTTTCTCTCCCAACGTTGGTCCCTTTTTGATTCCCCTGAAAAAGGGATACATTAAACTTATTTTTTAAAGAAAACCATCATTCCCGATGGACCCAGCCTGATGGATTTATAGTCCAACTCAAGTTGTTTACAAGTTGGTGTAAGCAACTGAACAACTGGAATATTTGGGTCCTTTTCAATGATGGCAAAAGTGACCGAAATAGTAGAGACCGAACGCTGCAAGAAATTAGATAAGGCGTTTTATTTATATTTATATATATCTTTATGTTTTTATATCTTTTTTCAGCTTTTAAAAGTGTTTTTTTTTTAAAAAAAAATCTTGTGTATTTTACATTTTTTAACCCTTTCAAATCACTAATGATGGTTTATGAACGTACCACAGGTAGTCCTCGACTTACAACTGTTGGTTTAGTGACGGTTCAGAGTCACAAGGGCCCTGACAAAGGGGACTTGGGACTGTTTTTTCACACTTAACGACCGCTGCAAGCATCCCCGTGGTCACGTGATCAAAATTCAGGGGCTTGGCAACTCATATTTATGACGGTTGCCGTGTCTTGGGGTCACATGATCCCCTATTGCGATTCCTGACCAGCGAAGTCAATGGGGAAACCAGATTCACTTAACAACCGTGAATCATGGCTGGCTGGGGAATTCTGGGACTTGAAGTCCGCAAGTCTTAAAAGTTGCAAAGTTTGGAGATCACTGTTTAGTATATAAGGTGGGAATATCACAAAGCCCCTTCCCCATTTAGCTAAGCCACTTTTCACTTCTCCCTTCCCTTGGATTGATATACCAGAAGGGTGTATAGGGTCTCCTTCCTAAGCAGGGGGTTGGACTAGAAGACCTCCAAGATCCCTTCCAACTCTCTTATTCTGTATTCTGGACTCATGTTTTCCAACTTCCCGGTTGCTATTTCTACCCTACCCCACCCAGGAAATCCCCTTCCCCCATTATACATTTTTAATCATTCCAAACTCTTTCACACATTGGTTAAGTTCTTCTGCTCTTTTTTTTTGTGGTTTTGGGTTGTTGTTTTTTGCAAAAATCAGGATATTGACATTATTTGCGTTATTTGTGTCCTGAGATGTAGAAAACCAGATTGTGGAATCCTTGGTCCTGCTGGGCCTTCTCTTAAACACCTTGCATTTCAGTGTAAACATTTCTTCTCTTTCCCTTGGCTTGCCCCTCATGTTAAGGGCTACCCTTAATGTGGCTTTTTTCAGAGGAACCCCCCCCCCCCACAAGTGTGAAGCGAATGGATATTTAATGCTCTGTAATTAGAGGTTTTTACAGGATTTGCTTGTCTTTAACATATTTGGTCCTCCTGGCATTCTGGTTTAGGAAAGGATGAGCTACAAAGTTCATTTAAGGTGCCACAGGATGCTTTAAGAGGTTTGTTGTGACAAAATAAATGCCACCCCCTCTTTGAAAGTCAGCTTCTGTGGGACTTAATTCGCCCCTCTGATGAGCACTGGCGTGTTGACACATCGCTTTAAGCCGTGGTGTTAATTTTTGCAAACCACAGGGACCGAGTTCATCATACAGGCCAAACCAAAATTAAACAATTCAGTCTCTGTTTCCTTCTAAAAATCGCCTTTAGCGCCACTGGATGGGATTATCCAGAGCTATTCCTTGTATTATTTCGTTTGTGTAAATCACTTGCGTATCAGCCGTAGAGGGTTGTTATTTTGCCTCAACTTACGGCCACAACAAAGCCTGGGATTTTGGTTGTAAGATGTTACGGTTGTAAGTCCAGACGCCACTTGACTGGATTTGATTTTATGACTCCTTTTACAATGGTCGTTAAGCCAGGCACAATGATCGTTCAAATCCAAATTGCAGTCACGTGACTGCAGGACACTCCTATCTGGTCGTAAACATGAACCAATTGCCCAGTTACTGTGTGTTTTGTCCATGTGTAGTCAAAACTTCAAGACATGAGGGATGGGTGGTAGTTGTAAGTTCGAGGATGGGTTGTAAGTACCTTTTTTAAAGCAAGCCTTAATTTCAAGTAGTCATTATTAAATGTGAACACAAGGCTCTTTTATAAGCCCCACCTTGGTATGAATTCTGAAGATCATAAACCAGTGTTAATAATGAAAGTGAAATAGTTGAATAAGTGATTTTTTTTTTTAACAACTGCAGACCTACAAAATATCCCCCCCCCCCCCCATCTATTTCTTAATTGCAGGTCCTGGGTAGAAAGTGATGCACAAATTGTGAAACAAACAGGAACGGCTGCGGACAAGATGATAATTATTATTTGTAATGTGATACTTGACCTGTCATTATCAGAGGCAATGCCAGCGACTGGAATGTAGTAGAGGCGTCCGTGGTTATGTACAGGTTGCCCTGGACTTACGACAGTCTGTTTAGTGACCGTTCAAATTTACAACATCACTGGGGGAAAAAGTGACTTAGGACCATTTTTCACACTTACGACCGTTGAACCATCCCCACAGTCACCTGATCAAAACCCTTGGCAACTGGTTCATATTTATGATGGGCGCAGTATCCCAGAGCGATCCCCTTTTGCGACCTTCTGACAAGCCAAATCCACGGGGAAAGCATGATTCGCTTAATGACCACAGTGGTTTCACTTAACCACCATGGCATGAAAGGTCTTAAAAACGGGGCAAAGCTCACTTTGTCTCGCTGAGCAGCAGAAATGTTGGGCTCAGTTGTTGTCGTAAGTCGAGGACTGCCTGTCCCTGGTCAGGCGCTGCGGGAGATGAGTTGCTTAATCAGCAGAGGCCACCAGATGGATGGGTGAAGGTTACTCCGATGTTGCAAATTCAATCGGGCCAGTAGCAGTCTGACTCACCACCGTCGTTGCTCAATGCCAAGTGACGGGAAGTTGAACTTTACTCGCTGTGTGGAAGAGGCAGAGCAAGCACTCTGCAGGAGCTCAGAGGCACAGTGGACGGATTTGGAGGTGGGCAGGGAGGACTCGGGCGTCATAAAGCAAATTCGGGAATTCCAGAGACGCTTCTCAGAACATCAGAATTAAGTACTGGTTCGTCCAGTGACGGTTCGAACTTACAACAGCACTGGCAAAAGTGACTTATGGCCGTTATTCGCAGTTATGACCCTCGCCTTTTCCCTGCGATCAAAATTCAGAGGCTTGACAATTGGTTCATATTTTAGTAAGAATAACAGCCCTGGAAAAAAAAGTGACTTAGGACCGTTATTCGCATTTACGACCATTGCAAGTGTCTCTCACAGGATCAAAATTCAGAGTCTTGGCAACCGATTCATATTTATGACGGTTGCAGTGTCCCGGCGGTCCACGTTGATCCCCTTTTATGACCTCCTGACAAGCAAAGGCAGTGGGGAAGCCAGACTCATTTAACGACCCGTGTTCCTAACTTAACTGCTGCAGGGATTCGCTTAACGACGATGGCAAGAAAGGGAGCAAGAATTCTCTTAACAAGTGTCTTGCTTAGCACAGTAAAATTGGGGGCTCAGTTGGCGGTCATAAGTAGAGAACTACCTGTAGTGGAATCTTGGGCTGTTTCTGCCATAGTTCCACTATCGTCCACATGTGGCAAGCTCTGATTCAGGATGGTTTTTGTTGCTTTGAGAACTAGGGTTACTTCTGCGAGGTGTCCTTTTCCAAAACCAAAACTCCCATCCATGGTTGTTGAAGGTGGTTCTTTCTAACCAGGATTGTATGACCGATGAGCAGACCTACCTACCAGCAATGATGAGGCCACCTCACCTTCTCCCGAATCTCTGGCCTATAACTCTTCCAGTTCATGATGGTAGCTAGAAACAGGCGATGTTCAAACCATCTCCAGCATCCACAGCACATCTGGATTTCAATCAGAATAGAGCTGGAAGGGACCTTGGAGGTCTTCTAGTCCAACCCTATGCTCAAGCAGGAGACCCTATACAATTTGAGACAAGCAGCTGTCCAATCTCCTAAAAGCCTCCAGTGGCAATTTCTGGTGGCAAGCAGTTCCGCTGGTTAATTGTCCTCACTGTCAGGAAGTTTCTCCTTAATTCCAGGTTGCTTCTCCCCTGGATTAGTTTCCACCCGTTGTTTCTTCGTCTTCAGGTGCTTTGGAAAATAAGTGGACCCCCTCCTATTTGTGGCAACCTCTCAAATATTGGAAGACTGCTATTACTATTATCCTCCTCATCCTTCCTATTACCTTCCTCTTCCCACTTACGACTATAACCGTGTTGCTTGTATCTTTACAACTTATATTGTTTTATTTGTCTCTTAGTAGGATTGGATTGCTTATAAGTAACCTATGACTATCACTCATTGTTGTATCTTATGATTCTTAATGAATGTATTTTATTTTTTCTTATGTACACTGAGAGCTTGTGCACCAAAGACGAATTCCTTATGTGTCCAATCACACTTGGCCAATAAAGAATTCATTCTTTCTTTCTTTCTTTCTTTCTTTCTTTCTTTCTTTCTTTCTTTCTTTCTTTCTTTCTTTCTTTCTCTGTCTGTCTGTCTGTCTGTCTATCTATCTATCTATCTATCTATCTAGTTCTTCTTTTCTCTAGACCAGCCAAGCCCAAATCTTGCAACCGTTCTTCTATATGTTTTAATCTCCGGACCTTTAAACATCCTAGTTGCTCTTCTCTGCACTTTTTCCAATTCTCAACATTTCCTGGTTTACTGAGAAGGTCTTGTCAGTTGACACCTACGGCCACCAGCAACATAGTTGTTGTTCAGAGTCTCTTTGACAGATGCCAATCGTGGTTGCCTTGATCATCTTGAGCAAGATTTTTCAGCTGTGTCACCAGGAAGTGTCTCATTCAGCTGTTGCAGGTGCCATCAACTAGGTGCCATCACTTCCTACTCTCCCAACTGCAGTGTGCTCGTGGCGCACACCTTGGAATTGTGGGTGGTGGAATTGTGGTCCTTTGTCTACCTTCCAAGGTGTGCATTGCTGGAAAATCAAAGCACGTTTGTGTGTGGTGGAGAATTGCAGGAAACCCAACCTGCGCTGTGTCTTTTGGCCATCCTTGGATCTATGGGAGCCTTACTCATGCCAAAGAACTGCAGCCCTGCTCTTAGCTCTGCGCAGCCCCATGTCTTAATATATAGAAAAGCAATTTTCTCCCTAGCTCTGAGGCCCCCCGAGGAGAAAGGATGTGGTCTTAAAAACAGGAGTGGTGCAGAAAGAGAATTTTCTGTTAGCGTTAGGAAGTGTTGTCTTGCGGTTATGGACGGTTGCTTCCTCCTGAAAAGTTGGTGGGATGGTGGAAATATTACTCATTTAGCAATCGGTGTAAAGCATCACATATATATGTATGTATGTATGTATGTATGTATGTATGTGTGTATTTATCTTCATTTGTTTTCTTAAGTTTTCACGGGTACTTACATGTATGGCATTCAGCTTTGTTCGGGTATTTTCCCACATCACTGTAGTTGTGCTTTTAAAGTTGTAGCAGCGTTTCGGCAGAATCTCATCTGCCATCATCAGGCTTCTGTATTGTGTTGGTCCAAACACACACACGCACACACACACACACACACACACACACACATAATTAATTAATTTACAACTGTTTGCTGGAAGTTAATAACAGCACTTTAAAAAGTGATTTATAACCAGTTTTTCACACTTGCGACCATTGCACGACCCCACGGTCACACAATCAAAATTCAGACTTCGGCAACTGATTCATATTTGCGACGGTTGTACAGTTTTGTGTGTGTGTGTGTGTGACATGATCAGCGTTTGAGACCTTCTGGCAAGCTGAGTCAACGGGAGCAGCCTGGCCTGCTTAACAGCCGCATGCTTTGCTTAACAACTGCATTGATTCGCTTCACAAACAAGGCAGAACGAACGGCAACAGCATTTAGGCTTGCAAACCGACCTAAGAAAGGTCATAAAATGGGGCAAAACTCACTCTCTTGCTGAACAACCCAAATTTGGGGCTCAGTTAAGTCGAGAACTGCTTGTAACTCCTAACTGCTGGCTTCGGGGGTAATATGCTTGCCTGGGGAACTTATTTTTTACATCCTCGCTTATAATCCTCACTCTCTTGAGTGGAAGTGAGGAACTGGGGTTGGATGTAGCTTTAAACTCCATGGGGCTAGAAAACACTTGGTGGTGCAGAGTCCTCGGTGCTCTCTGATCTCGGTTGTTTGCTTGCAGACGTTTCATGACCCAACTAGGTAACCTCATCAGAAGGGAGAGAGGTTTGGGATGAGAAGGAGGAGGGAGAGGGGGGAAAGGAGGAGGAGTGTGGAGGTCCTCGGTGCTCTCTGATCTTGGTTGTCTTCTTGCAGATGTTTTCATGACCCAATTAGGTAACATCATCAGTGTTAGAAAGGAGGAGGAGGACATTGGGGTCCTTGGTGGTTTCTGGGCTTTTGCAGACGTTTCATGACCCAACTAGGTAACCTCATCAGTGCTGGAAGGGAGTGGG